CTACCAGACAGAGGCAGTTGGATTGGAGGAATGGGAAACTATGGCTCTGTTCGCTTGGTCTTCCTATTCCTCCATTGCTACGCTTCATGACTCCAACAAGAAGAGTGAACCTCCCCCTCCCCATACAGACACACTTGAGCAGTGAAAAAGCTGCACTACAGGGGGTAGTTCCATTTTGGATGAGAGCTCACTGAATGCTTATAGTGTCCTTTGTAATATCTATTTGCAAATATGTTTAGCATGGCAAATCAGGATGGTGCCTGGAGAACATTGTTATGTAAAGATGCATCAGTTCCACAAAAAGCAAATCGCAGTTACTTGAAGGATGCCCCCCTCCAAAAAAACCCCTCTTTCCAGTGGTTAAAATTTGAAAGTTTGCAGCTACTTGAAGGATGCCCCCCTCCAAAAAAAACCCCTTCCTCTTTCCAGTGGTTAAAATTTGAAAGTGTTATTTTTGAAAACCAAAAATATATCCTCTGTTTTCTCACATGGTGTGCTTTACAAGTTCAGCCTAAAGTCCAGAAATGCAGGTTTCATTTATCAATATGAATCTTTGTACAATAATGTATCTTCCCTGAGACACTGAAATCATACAAGTGGATGTTTGGCTCACTATGAATTCTGTAAATATACTGCAGGACTGCATGAGACCATGTTTAGTGTATTTTTATCCTACCTTATCTCCAAGGAGCCTCAGAACAAACCTGTGAGGTAGGGGCAAGAGAGAAGGAGGAGGAGAGAGACTGGACAAAGTCACCCAATCAGTTTCATGGTATGCAGGGATTTGAATATAGGCCTTGCAAAACTCAGTCTAACACTAACCACTACGAGACACTGGATCTCTCACTGATCGTGTGGTGGATTCAAATAGCCAGTTTTTTTAGAACTATTGTTTAGACTTCTAATGATAGTTTCTATCGGCCTGTATATTGGCCTCTGTATGGAATGGAAATGATGAGATGGAAGCAGCTAATGGGGTCTCATACTAAAGCATAGCATGTTACTTTCCCTTTTTGCTGTTCTGGTTCACCTCTTGCTGCTTTTGTTTTTAGGTTTGGTATATAATTACAATGAAACAGGGATCAACAGAGGAGAACATGGATGGGAACAATGTATAAACGTGCCCCTAGTACAGCCTGACATGTATGCTTTACTCAAACAATGGGATACATACCTAGAACAATTCTCAGCAGCGGAGATCTGGCGTCCATACAGGTATGTAGCTCAACTGACAGTGCAGCTGCTCTCAGGAGGCAGAGAAATACACATGACTGGTTTTGGCCTTTGCCTACCTCATAGCTAATGGATGGACTTGATTCTTTGTGCAACAGTTAGCCTCTAAACAATCCCACTTGGAAGTCTATGTTTTAGTTAGCTTCCTTCTTCCAGTTAATAGAAGGAGGCACATACAGTAAGAGGCAGACTGCAACTCCCAGTTTAAGTCAAGGCTGAATACAGTTTGCATAGTAATGATAATATGTCACTGGTATTCAGAATTCCAAAGTGGAAAAATATGGTTGCTGGATCCAGCCACTTCATTACTACTTTAAATCTTGAGGGTAATTCTAGAAGGGTAGCAGTGTTAGTGTTGTGCAGCAAAATTAAACCAGAGACCCGTGGCACCTTAAAAACCAAGAACTTTTATTGCAGCATAAATCAGAACTCACAGGAGTTTATGCTGGAATAAATGTTAGTTTTTAAGGTGCTGCTGGACTCCTGTTTTAGCTTGATCCTGCATCTCTTAGCAGCTAAACTAGAGAAGAGTGATAACTCAGAGACAAATTGTACATGCCCTCCTGTAGCTTTGCAGGTAAGCAAAACGGGCATTTAGCTTACTGGGAAAGTTCTCAGTGGGCTGCTGCCCTGGAAGGCTGCTGGTGGCCAACAGAAACAGAACCAAGCACCGGTAGTTCTGTCAGTGCTTCCAGGGCCAGTTAGCATGAACCCTTCAGTGGCAACGATGACTGATGTTAACTCACCAGTTACCTCCCTATGCATGGCCACCACGTGATGGCGGTGAGAGAGGAGGAAATAGGTGGCACAAACGGTGGTGCTAGCCTGTAACCGTTATCCCTGTAGTGCTAGTTTTTAGCACTAGCACTTTGTAATGTTTTATATTTATATTGTCATGATTTTACTTAGTTCTGTTTTAGCTGTGTAGTGTTTGTGTAAGCTGCCCTGAGCCTACTACGGCGGGGAGGGCAGGGTAGAAATCTAATAAATAAATAAATGTTTGTAGCTCAGATTGGCTTGTGCCTGGGCCATTTTAACTTCCCAGTATGTCCCTGGTTGAGCATCTGTCTGCTGCACTTTCTGGGACTTCACTGTATTTTCAATTAAGGCTCATCTTTGTAACCAGTGATAAATGCTTTGGTTTTGGCATCTGAGTATGTCATCAGATAAAAGTTTTTACAAGGGATGGGAACTGCCATATGATAGAGGAAACTTACTGCTCTGATGGAGACAGTGGTTTAAGAACACTTGTAAAAGAAAACGTAGTTAAATAGCATGTAAGATTGCCTGATATGTGAAAACAGGCAGTACAGTTGCGGGTTTAAAAGCCCCCAAAGTACTATTTAACAGTATTCAGCATTATTACTGCATTCCACTTTTTAGCACAAATTGGGACAGATCCAGTACAACTTCAGACTTCTCTGATAAAAACATAAAGCAAAAAAAAAAGTCTGTCCCCACCCCCCGTGTTTCTTTGTCCTTACCAGAGCCTTGATCTGAGCAACTTGTTACCCACTGAAGGTTTACAGGTTAAAAAAACAACCTTGGCTGCAGCCACACATGCTAAATAATCCACGTTCAATCCATTTTCAGTGGACTTTCCAACTGGATTTTACTGTGTGAACTGGCAAAATCCAGTTGGAAAGTGCACTGGAAGTAGATTGAAAGTGGATTATTTAGTGTGTGTGACTGCAGCCCTTGTTCACCTGTGTTTCTAGTCTTTTATCAGTTGTGGAATACAATGTAACACATCAGTGAGGGATTAAAAAAAACCTCTATAAAATATATGCTGCACCAGCATTTGATTCCACAGGCGTGTCCCAGAGCTTATGAGTACAAATTGTTCATTCCCACTTTAATGCCTCCATATGCTTTTCAAGAGCATAACCTTCTGGTAATGTTTCACGGTATGGGATAGAATGATTCTTAAAACGGTTTGCTTATGAAATATGTCATTCCTCACTGTACAGTGATGAGTAACTATGAGATTAGTTTGGGCGGGGAGCAAGTATGTTCTTTTACTTAACTTTTCAATTAATTCTAGCAAGAGTGACTGGAATTTTATCTCTGGTATTGACACTAGCACACATTGTAGCCTTAATGGGATTGTTTCTTTAACCTAACATTGGTACTGATAAATACCTGTACGGAATAATGAATGTAAAGAGCTGATGATTGACAAACCCAAGCTCTGCAGTCATAAATATTCACATAAGCCATAGTATGCATACCCTCCAATAGTATTGAGCTAACGAAAGCGTAGTTCAGTTTCTTTGGAAGTAGAGCGATAGAGGATGGCAGAAGACAGGAAGGCCTGGCGTGATCTGGTCCATGGGGTCGCGAAGAATCTGACTCGACTGTGCGACTGAACAACAACAGAGTGATAGACATTGGCTCAGATCCACCAAAAAATTTCCTGCAGACAGAAGGACAGGGGACTTCCAGGAACAGGATTTCAGGGGGCATATGGGGCTACTGCAGGGTGTATATGTGTGAGGAAATCATGCTCTGTAGGCAGAAAGTCGGGTGGATCTAAGCCATTATGGTCTGCAGAGGCTACAGCCAAAGACCCTGTTTGGAATGACAGTGCTGACTTTTTGCTAAGAGTACAGCACAAGTAATGCAGGTTAGGAGCATGCACTCTGGGACATTTGTTACTTTACTGCAGTTCAAAAAGTAAATACAATCCATAAATCTTACAATGAGCATGTGTTTTGTTTTTAAAACCCACCTCATTTTGTTCTGGATCCTAAACAAAAGACCATAAAACTTGCAACTGACTTGCTCTCATCTGGTTTGTTTTAGTCAAAGCCCACCCAGTAGTTTACAGCCTGGGAGCATGAGAGTCAGCTGCAAAAGTAATCACATCCACTTTGTCCTTTTAAACAAACCTAGATCCATATTTCAGAAATGTAAACAAAGTAACTACTTGGCAATCTGCTGAACAACATTTTAGATGGAATAGCTGCTTCCTGTTTGTTTAAAATGAAATGTAAAACAAAAATTGAGCAAAGATGTCATGCCCTTCTGGCGAGTCTTCATGAATCAGTATTGCAAGTGTCACAAGGAATGTTATCTCAGCATAATCTTGTTTACTGGATTCACCAGCTACATTTCAGTTAGCTCATCTCAACCGTATCTTCCCCATGCGTGCATTTTATTAGGTTTTGATTCACAGAGCAAACAAAATATTGAAGCACACTGGCATGTATCCAGCCTTAGGTTGAAAGAAACTCCTGCAGCTTAAGGAGATTTCCTCGAATTTAAGTGGCTCTTCCATTGTAGGAAGAGCCACTGAAGCTGGAGGAAAGCACCAACTGTTGCTTTCTGGAGCGGTAGGGCACATGCCACTATCCTAATTTTGTGTTTTGCCAACATAGAGTTTGATTGTAATCCCGTTCCTATCCAGCTAGTGCAACCCGAGGACAGCACCATATGTTTAATTTCTTATGTTCAGTTCTGATTACCCATTTCATAGGTATGAAGAGCATGTTCACAACTGTTACACGTACGCACTAACATTTATTAACTGTGTGTTGAGTGCACAAGGGAAGCAGCAAATGAATAAAAGTGAATTTACAGAGAAATTTGTCATTCCACGGACAAGGAAAGCTTCCAAGTACATCACTGTCTACAAGGAAATATGCAAGAATGGCTTCTACGTTGTGGACCGTCTTGAGCAAGAGAATGACAGTTCCACAGAGAATCGTTTATTATAAAAAAATCAAATACAGATGACTGTGAAAGTAAAATGCTTTCTGTTCCTATCCTACTGAAACTACAGCAGTTGCAGGAAATCCACATTTACTTTGAAAGAAGCTCCACAAAGTTCAGTGTGGCTTCCCAAGTATACATAAGACTGCAAGCCTGAAACCTATCGTAACATTTCAGAAAAACTTCTATCTTTCTAAACCCTGACTAGCTTTACATGAAATAAAAGGTTGCCTGCATTTCTCAGGTGTTCAGTTTTTTTTGTGTTATAAGTCATCAGTGCCAACTTTTAAGGGCCACTGTCTGGAAAACTGCCAGTGCTCCATTCTGCACTTGTCCAAAATATGCAGATTATTTCCTTTAAAAGCATACAGCATCCCACCATTATCACCTGGATTTTCCAATGACATTATGCCATTTGCTTCAAGAACAGGAAGAATCTGTTTGATGCTCTGTAGTTTGTGAAATGAAACAGTGTGAAGTGACCACCACACAGTCTAGATGCCAAGGCTTGGTTAATTCCTACTCCAGTATCATCACCAGAAGAATACCAAAATTTACAGAAATACCAACATATGGAAGTGTTTTACAACAGCAGAAGAAAATAGTCTTTGATTCCAACACTATGTTAGTACGTATCCAATATTTGCGGAGTCTTATTTTGTGACGTTATTTTAAAAAATTATTAAGTTCACACAAAAAAAGAGCAATCCAAAAGTAAAACTATTATAACATTATCGACCGGTAGATACTCATAGAAAAACTAGGGCAAACCTAAATTTTTGAACAATTTTCATACACCCACATAACAACTCATATTGACACGTTTCCAATAACCTTACAATTTTAACCAGATTCTATAATCATTTCTACACAGAAGAAGTTCATTGTGTCTCAGAAACCCAATAACTGGCTTCCAGGTTTCATCATTATCACAGGGTGAAAAAGACAACTGGGAACCAACAAAGAAAGAATTGTTTACTGTTTTCTCTACATAAAATATATGTGTTCAGGGTTGTTGTTTTAAAAAAGGCACCATGCACTTATAGCTCTGCATGAGTACACTCTTGAGCAGTTCTTTCATTTATTGTAGATCTCACAGTTCATCTTGTTCATTACGCTCACGGGATGAGACCCAACGATGTAGAATCAGTTCCTTAAAAGAGAAAAGGTATCCACTGATTATTGAAGACAATCAATTGTATCCTTAGCTACCTTTACTACCCATTTTTTCTGGAATGAAAGCATGTTTATTGGCTTATCTTCAGGGGGAAGACTCATCACTGCAGATACCTGCCAGGAGTCCCAGGGCCCCCCTGATGGGGGCTTTGAGATCTTTCTGAATTTATACCTACCTTGTTTGCATCTCTCTCTCTCTTTCTTACATACAGAACCATTTTCACACACTTAACATTAACTTCAGGACTTGTTCGAGTATAGCAGATCTTCTGATGAATGTTTCAAATTTGGCAAGATTCCCAAGACCTGCTTGGGCATGTACAATAGATTTTTTTCCCCTTTGTACACCACAACAACTATGTGATATTGCAAGCTGCCATTGAAAATCTCCACTGATTCAAAGGAGGCTTGCTATGGGACATGGCAGGTTGCTGCTCAAGAGACACCCAACGCTTCTTGGGGAACATGGAAATGACTGCATGTTTCTTTAGATGCCAGCCAGTCTAGCATCTGCCAGAAGTGAAGTGTTCCTTCGGGGCCAGTTGGCCCATTACCAGAGCAGGCTAGGAATGGCTTCCATGTATTTGAATTTTGCACCACCGTTGGAAGGAGCCATGTGGGTCAAACAAAGGAAATTCTACTGCTTGTATTCCACTATGCCCTGGTAACACATGAATCAGCTTTTAGAGAACTGGATGCACACAAAAACTCAGATAATAATTGAGATGCAGTTATGCCCAAATGTTTCCCCCTCTTCATTCCCGGATACTGCACCTTTTGTTTTAAATCAGAGATCTATGGTCCATGAAGTTCCAGCAGGTAACCTGGGTGGTGGGGAGGTCCAGTGCTACGTATGGTATTACATATAACTACTCAATGAGCTGGGTGTATTAAGGCAGTCACAAACTCCAGAGGACAAATTAAAACCACAGCCGAGCTAGCATACCTGAACTTTAATTCTTTTGAGACACTCTGGTGATGACATTTCTTCTTCAGTCATATCAGATGGTTTAATCAGGTAACAGAACATAAGTTCCTGTTGGTAGTAAAATCAATCCATTTAAATATACTGGGACAATTATTTTAAAAACATGTTTGAGTAGAAGTAGAGAAGAAATGATATATAAATTATTGAAAACAGCAGAAATGGATAATTTAACTTTGCAACTACAAAATAAAAAAGAAGCAATTTTTGAGAAAATCTGGACAAGATTATACAAATGGATAGAAGTTTACCTTGGAGAACTGATAATGTGATTATAACCAAGTAAGGAACTGCTCTAACATTGTATATAAACTTAAACAGGTGTAAAAGAAAACGGATTTACTATACTATGGAAATTTAAGCAGAGACAAGAGTATATGCTCTAGTGTTTATTGTTTGTTTGTCTTACTGTTTGTTTTATGTTGTTGTTTCTTAACTTCTCTTTGAAACTAATAACATTTTCTTTTAAAACATAGAAGTAGAGAGTTAATCAGATTAAGAGGTATATTGGTTTGCTGGTCATCTCTGTAAGTAATGGATTCGAATCCCAATTCAGATAAAATAAGCAAACCATAAGATGTTCTCTTGCTTATAAACCAGGATTAAACTGTGGCTTGGAGTCTTAGTGTGTAAGCAAGACAGAAAGCCCATATTTCTTGGATGAAACAACAAACCAGAATGCAGAAGTCTGTTCCCAAGCCTTACACAGTGATGGTGGTGGGGACATCAGGGTGAGTGTATAAACCCACAGACTTCCTAGGTTTGTTCAAAGAGTAACGGACCATAATTTGTTGCTTTGAATTTATGCAGCTAAGAAATCTCATGCATACTGATGTTTTCCAGACTTCCCAATTGCATTGCAGCTTCTCTAGTTGCACCAGAGGCAGCTCTAGAGACTCCTGATATCCTGGGATGTATTTTCAGGAGCAGAAGAAATTACAGGCAGAAAAGGGGGGGGGGGAGAGTAATGCAGTTCTGGAACCAGATATTCAGAATGCTTTGCATTTATTAGATTTCTATCCCTCCCTCCTTCCTTCTTTCCCTCCTTAGGACAGTGTACACAGTGTTCCCAAATGGGGTCTCCCATCCAGGCACTGTCCAGATCCAGCGCTGTTTATACATGTGTCTTCCAACCACATGGAATTCTCCATTTCCCCAGGTTAATATAACCCCCATTTTACACACTGAAAATCATAAGTGTCTGCTTCAGAAAAAATTATGGTATGACAATTAAAACAATAAAGATAAACCCTGCACTCTTCTATGTGTTATAGTGAACAAAAACATGTTTAATAACGTTGACAGTCCAAGTGCATCTGTCCCAATGATCTTAAAGCACTTCCCCTACCTGCTAGACACAGACTTTCAGATTAACAAAGACATTATCAGTGGGATATTTGCTTTTCTCTCCCCATAAAAGATTAAAGTACTTCCACACAAACTGGAAAACTGAAACGTGGTATACATGCAGTGTAAGACATCAAGATCACTTTAAAAAATAAAAATAAATCGATCTGGACATATTCTTCTTTTTTCCATGAAAACTGGGGTATGAAGTCTGCTTCATAACAGTAGGCAACACAGATTAAACCAAGGAGCAGATGCATGACCATGTTTAAGAATTCTGTTGTCACACCATTAAAACAACCTCAGCGTGTAGTCTTTGGTTGAGAGGAAAAGAGGGGCAATTTCCTTTGGCACTTGCAGTCCTAAATATGAAATTAGGACAGGTCACACACACGGGATTCAAGAATGATTAAAGCAAGTTCAGAGGAAAGATGTGTTTCATAGTGGCAACCAGGAACAGAATGAAGTTCTATTTAATAGAAATTAAATTTAAATTTTCTATTTAATAGTTTGCATTACATTTGTATTGCCATAGATTCTGACAGCTTTACAAGGTCTCTCTTTTTGAGCATCAGTGTGTCTTTCTTTCAGTTCATCCCATTTTTCCCCAACTGTCTTTTTAAATGCTTGGTTCCTTTCATTTGTTACCTTAGAAACATTTGCTGTGGTTCTATTCAGACTTGATAAAGACCTCCAGCTAAACGATCTCTGTGATGATCCTTCAAAGTCACCATTAACTAATTCAGCAATCACAGAGTAACTGGAAAATAAACAAAGAAACTCTTTTTTAGTAGAGAAGGATTTATACATTTTAAAGCCTAGTTTCTTCCCATATTTGCTATTCAGCTACTGTAAGGAATACACCTAACTCCAAACACTTTATGAGCAGATTGCTGTTTGGCAAAGAGACGTGAAAAGCCATTCAAGTGAACAACAGAGTGCCAAGTGGCCAATTTTAATTCACTTCCTTCCAGGCTTACATGATGTACTATATTTTACCCAAAACACTAGTATCTAAACATGATCTACAGGCTATAACACTTAAAGGCTATCCACGGTGGCAAACAAAACCTTTATTGAAAATGAATTCTCTGTAAGTAGCATTCCCATGTATCAGAAACTGCAATTCTCCAAATGTTTACATGTCCTTCAGCCCAGCTGCAGGACTACCAAAGCCACTCTACTGGATATTTAGAGAATTTCTGTGAAGTCCTCCAGGAAAAGCTTCAAACAAACTTATTTTGTACTCCAGTGTAATTATTATTATTATCTCCACTTTCTCCATGGGACAATACTTGTTTTGGTGCCAAAAATACTATACCAATGTGAAGTGGAAACATAAGTGAATTTGGTTTTCATTAGTGATGGAAGTTGAGCACAATACTTAAGCAAAGAAATTATTGTATCCAAACCTGAGTGCTATACCTGGCATGGTAAAATGGAGGACCTTTTCGATACAACACTGCAACAAAAGACAAAGCACACTCATTCAGGCTCCATTCAGATGTCACAATTTGTATTTTGTATAAACCAGTCTGCTGCACAAACCCTGATTAGTTTACCAGACATGTATGCTTGTTCATAAATTCCAGTTATTCTGTAGCTTGTCTCTAACTTACATTTAAGATGGACCCCTCTTTCACTTGATGGCACATGTAGAAAAATAGTCTTCCTTTCAGGTAAATAGCATTACTTGTGTGGTACCAGTTTTAGAAGAAAAGTATGGAACTATTATGCCCCAAATCCAAGTCAGCCCACATGATGCATACGAGCCGTGTGTACAGATGTGCATTGCTTGCATATTTCCTTGAACTAAAAAAATTGCTTTATCCATTCAAAAGGAGAGACACTTAAACCAGTCCTACGCTTCCCCTTTCCTCAGTTGGCACTATTACCAACATTCTTACTGAAGCAACATGTTCATTTCTTACTCCTAGATGAGTCTCTGAGCCTGGGGCTGCATGTGCATAAAGGGGTTGCAAAGCTAAGTACTCAAAGCAGATGCCTTGCTCCTGGGACAGGACTACACCAGGTCACCACTCAAAATGTGATGACCTGAAACAGTAAAAACATCTCCCATCCCTCCTACAATTGGGTGTACACAGGAAGGTACTACAACTAATGACAGTGACAAAAATATGTAATCTTTCATTAAAATCTGCCTCCATTCCTGAGGACTGGAAGGTAGCTAATGTCACTCCCATCTTTAAAAAGGGCTCCAGAGGAGATCTGGGAAATTACAGGCCAGTCAGTCTGACATCGATACCGGGTAAGTTGGTGGAAATTGTTATTAAAGAAATAATTAGTAGGCACATTGATGAACAAAAAGTATTGAGGCAGACTCAGCATGGGTTCTGTAAGGTAAGATCTTGTCTCACTAACCTGTTAGTGTTCTTTGAGGGAGGGAGTGAACAAACAGCGGACAAGGGGGACGCAATAGATATTGTTTACCTTGACTTCCAGAAAGCTTTTGATAAAGTTCCTCATTAAAGGCTCTTAAGTAAGCTCAATAGTCACGGGATAAAAGGACAAGTCCTTTTGTGGATAAAAAACTGGCTAATTAATAGGAAACAGAGAGTGAGTATAAATGGGAAGTTTTCTCAGTGGAGGGTGGTAAGCAGTGGGGTACCACAGGGATCAGTACTCAGTCTGATGCTTTTGAACTTGTTCATTAATTATTTGGAGTTGAGAGTAAGCAGTGAGGTGGCTAAATTTGCAGATGACATGAAGTTGTTCAGGGTGGTGAGAACCAAGGAGGATTGTGAGGCACTCCAAAGGCATCAACATGGCAAATGGGGTTCAATGTGGCCAAGTGCAAAGTGATGTACATTGGAGCCGAAAATCCTAAGTATAAATACACGTTGATGAGGTCTGAACTGTCAGAGATTCACTGAGAGAGAGATCTTGGAATCGTAGTAGATAACTCAATGAAAATGTCAAGACATTGTGTGACTGCAATAAAAAAGGCCAATGCTATGCTCACAATTATTAGGAAGGAAATTGAAAACAAATCAGCCAGTATCATAATGTCCCTGTATAAATCAATAGTGTGACCTCATTTGGAGTACTGTGTACAGTTCTGGTCACCACACTTCAGAAAGGATATTATAGCATTGGAAAAAGTGCAGAAAAGGGCAACTAGAATGATCAAAGGGCTGGAACACTTTCCCTATGAAGACAGTTTAAAATGCTTGGGGCTCTTTAGCTTGGAGAAACGATGACTGAGGGGTGACATGACTGAGATTTATAAGATTATGCATGGGATAGAGCAGGTAGAGAAAGAAGTACTTTTTTCCCTTTCTCACAATACAAGAACTCGCGGGCACTCAATGAAATTGCTGAGCAGTTGGGTTAGAACAGATAAAAGGAAGTACTTCTTCACCCAAAGAGTGATTAACAGATGCCACAGGAGGTGGTGGCGGCTACAAGAATGGATGGCTTCAAGAGGGAATTAAATAAACATATGGAGCAGAGGTCCATCAGTGGCTATTAGCCACAAGGTACAGATAGGAACTCTCAGTCTGGGTCAAGTGATGCTCTATATTCTTGGTGCTTGGGGGGGCAACAGTGGGAGGGCTTCTAGTGCCGTGGCCCCACTGCTGGACCTCCTGGTGCCACCTGGTATTTTTGGCCACTGTGTGACAGAGTGTTGGACTGGATTGGCCATTTGCCTGATCCAACATTGGCTTCTCTTATGTTCTTAATAAGAGTGTTCATGGCAGGCTGGTCCAACACAGAAGAATATTAAGTTATTATGCTGCATGCCTTAAAATTCACTTGCTCTTCATCTGTTATTTGTGATGGGGGCGGGGGAGTTTTAACTAATCTTGGTTTAATACCTTTGCTGGATCTTCCATTCTTAGAAAGAGGAAGAAAAGAGCACCATATATCAATTAAACTCACAAGTAGGTCTTGCCTAGAGAAATGACTAGGGGATGACTCATCACCCTCAGAGGCTTTCTGTCTAACATGGGAAACATCTGCCTCAAGGTAAGGGTGGTTAACAGTTGATAAAAGCTTTGTATATTAAACATGCCTCATAGTATAAATAATACAAACCTCCGGTAGATTCATGCAATCTTTTTGCCTGCAGTAAAAAGCATTTCATTCCCACTGATAACAACCCAACATCAATTAAACATTTTAAATTACTGCAGTGTGCACATCTATTATTTAAAGAGGCCAGCAAAGGACGAGTGAACTGAGACAGTGCTATAGCACTCAACACCCAAGCAAACCTCCAGCATGTTTGAAAAAAGATGGACAATATATTATCTAAACTGAGAAGGCAGACAAAACAGAGGCCCATAAGCAACTTTAATATTTCATCTCCCAACCTGATGAAACTCAACTGAGCTCCAAGCAGGGCTTTTTTGTAGAAAAAGCCCAGCAGGAACTCATTAGCATAATAAGGCATACCCAACAGCAGAAACTCATTAGCATATCAGGCCACACCCTGATAGTACAGCTCATTAGCATATTAGGCCACACCCCCATGTTGCCAGAAGTGTGGTCATCCAGCCACACCCACCTTTTGCTTCTTATTCTGTTTACCTTGTTTGTTGTCAAATCCCAGCTCTCTTTTTGTAGCAGGAACTCCTTTGCATGTTAGGCCACACACCCCTGATGTAGCCAATTCCAATGGGTTTCTGCTGTTGGGTGTGGCCTGTTATGCTAATGAGCTCCTGCTGGCCGTGGCCAACTCAGGAGCCAGCCGGAACTCCGTTCCTGTGTGTTCCTGCCCCAAAATAGCCCTGGCTCCAAGTAATTGGGTTTCATCAATGAAATATTTGCCATAGCTTAAAATTTAGTGCATGGCCTCTTTTGGATATTGTCATCTGCACCAAAAATATCTACTGCCTTTGTTACAAACTACAGTCACAATATGCAAACAATGATTCTGGAAGACAGAATACTCACAGAGATCAGTTCCATATTTCAGTCCAACTTTAGGAACCCACCCTTTGCATCGGAAATAGTGATACGCCATGTACGTAGTTCTAAAATTGGGTTGCACTTCACTGAAAAATTCCCATAGCTTCAAGATAGATAAAGGTACCTAAAATCACAACCAAATGTAGTCATGCATGGGATAATATGGGCAACTATCATTGCCCCCCCAAATGATTTTAGACACTCCTAAAGTTTAGCTAGTTATGGCTGTGTTAGTTCAAGTTGTGAAAATATGCAACTGACACAAGCCAAAACATGAAGAAAGACCATTAATACAATTCAGTATCCAAATTGTGCTCTAGCTACCACTACTGAAAGCTCCAGAGCTAGAACATTCTTATGAGATCTAGTCTAGGAAGATTAAACTCTAGTCTAGGGAGAAAACTCTCTGTTTAGGAGAGTCAGTAAAGAAAACTCTCTGCTGGAGACATACTTAGTTTTCACAGCAAATTTGTTTAAGGCATTATAAAGAGAGCTTTGTGTACCATTGTTTCCAATGCTCCCACTCCTCCCAAATTCTGTTTAGGGATACATTGTATTCTCAAAATTATGGAATTTATTATTAATAGAGCTTGTTGCATGCTCCCATTCATGCTTCCTCAGAAGTAAATCCCACTGCAGTCAACAAGACTTCTATAGTGCCATCCTAAACAGAGTTACACCCTTACATCCAGTGAAGTCAACAGACTTATAAGGGTGTGACTGTACTTGACATGGCAGAGTTAGCAACCTCAGGCACAATGTTCGGTTCAGAATTGCAGCCACCCTTTGAAAGTTGGCACAAGATGACTTGGAAACCATCACAAAGCGTCCATTCTTCTCTGCTAGTGAGCAATTCCCAAAGCAACAGATCACTCAACACATCACCTACCAATGACTAGAAGTATCATCTTACCTCACTGTAATAAATATTTAAACATCCCAGAGCGTACACCAAGAAAAAAGCCTGAAAAGAAACAATGAATGGAATTATTATGATTTACAGGGCACTAGCATTAAAAAAAAAGGGTGGGGGGTGTCGGGGAAGACTGTCCATGCCAATGCGTTAGATGATTACAGAAGACCATGCCTAAGGGCACGACTTATTCTTTTTTATTGTATAACAGTCATAGTTTACACAACACTGAAGAGGACTATTCATTCCTGATATAAAGCAAATTGATTTCTGAAAGGTGAATAGATTATAGTTAGGCAAATGAAGGACACTACTGCCAAGGGAGAAGGTAAAATGGCAGGGGTCATATTTAAAATGCATGGGAAGATGCACTGTGGCCTAGGAGGGCTGAAGAGGGCTTCGGTAACCTAAAGAATCCACAACTGTCATGGCGAGTAGCAGCAGAAATAATAGTGTGTATAACTGATCATAAGCAGCCATGCTCTCACGCCAGAACAACTTGCAGGAGCAAACTGTTCCTCTGTCACTCTATCCAAGGCGCTGCCATGTGCCCCCAGAGGACATGCACCTGGGAAGACCCTCAACTGACAGCTCTGCAGGGCCGAATTGGTAACATGGCTCTTTTCAAATTATACGTAGATCACCATTTACTTAAAACACTTTATATTCATGTAAACAGACAGATATTTAGGATTTTAAAAATGCATGATGTTGTATATTTACGCTGGCAGATTACTTAAGTATGACACCAATATTGTGGTGGGGGGGTGGGGAAACTTACCTCTTCTAGACTGAGCTGCAAATATTCAAAAATCCTAAACGGATTTCTTCTGCAGACTAACTTTTCTTTTTCACTCAGCTACGACAAAACAAAGTTACAAAGCAGTAATCAATCACGCTCTGTCTACTTACGAGCTTGCCAGCATCCCAAATTGTACTTCTTTCCCCCCATAAGGATCATTTTCACAAGCGCTCACCATCTTCACTTCTGAGATCTCCCCTCAGCATAGAACACACCTCTTGAGGACATCGAGGCACCTCAGTCAAGCCACGGCAAGGTCTGCAGGCAGTGTGGAGGGGCTGTTTTTTGTTTTTTTGCATTTGTGTGTGTGTGTGTGTATGCATGCGCACCCATGCCTGGAAGTCACAGCGACCTCTGGCGACTCCTTCTGGGGCACGGAGGACATTCAGAGAAGTGGCTTGGTAGCCTGCCTCTGCCTCCCGGCCCTGGTATTCCCTGGAGTTCTCCCATCCAAATACTTGCCTGAGCCGGCCCTGTTTAGCTTCCGAGATCTGACAAAATTGGGCTTGCCTGGGCTATCCAGGTCAGGGCTCAGGCAAACGTATTTTGAAGTCTCTGGGTGCCATTGGCTTAGCTGCACTGATATCACTCTGGAGAAGTCAACCTCTGAGTTACAGTGCCAGGAGGCAACATGAGGAAAAGGCCTTGGCCTCTATGTCCTGTTGTTGGACCTCCAGAGGAACTGGTTAGCTACTGTGTGAGGCAGAATGCTGGACTAGACTGGTCTGATCCAGCAGGGTTCTTCTTTTGTTCTTATTAGCATCTGCATTCTCAGAGGGTCTTCAAGGGCCTTCAAAGTGAAATCCCAAGACCTATAAGCAACTTGTGTCAAATTATCCTTGCAACAGTGCTTAGATACCATTGGCTTATAAAAGACACCACGTGAGGATCAACTTAAATTGTTCCAGAGGTTGTCTTGTTGACTTAAACAGATAGCTTTAAATGTGTTATACTTTCCCCACCCCCCCCCCCCCCGGGTTACACAATCCCAGCACAACTGCAGTATTTTGTCTTACTAGTAACCTATTAGGTTCAAATGATATATTGTATAATCTGCTTAACAACTGATTTAGAAGGTTTTCTAAATCATAGTTGTAATCTGCCTTGGGTCCCACTGAAAAACAGGGACTATAAATATAAACAAATAGATAAAACGTACTTATATGAGGGCAAGTACGTACTATTAATTTTTCAGTTCCGCCTACAGAATTATGGGGAAGAGAGTACAGCTAACACGCAGCCTTACGTGTGATGCCTCATGTGCGTTTTCTTCTTCTGGACTCCAATCCGATTCTTCTTGCACCAGCACAAACTCCTGGTGACTATATTCTCCACTGCTCAAAACAGGAGATTCCTGTTTGACACAGTCATCTTGCTTGCTGTCATCATGCAAACTAGATGGACTTTTTGGAGAATGAGTTCTAGTGATAGCTTGAAATCCTGTTCTGTCCCGTTCATTAGAGCCACACTTGCCTAATGGATCACAGTGCGGATCCCCTTCCGGGTGGGCTGCTTGATTCCTTTCATCAGAAGTCACTACCAGCTTGGGCTCAGCAGGCTCCATTGCTTGTGTCTCTTCATTCTCAGACTCATTCGTTTGTTCATCTTTTCCTTCTAGATTAAGTGGTTCGATGTAATTTAGAAGGAATTTGTTTACTGTGCAGTCATTGAGTCCCTGCTCCTTCATGCGACTTTTAGCCCACTCTACATAACGCTGGAATCTAGGAGAAAAGAAAGTAAAAGACCACAGCAGGGAAAATCCTTTAACAAGGCATGACAATTCAGCACTTTTAGACAATAACAATACAGAAATGCCCATGTTTCTGTAGCCTCTCTATTACAGTCCAGATAGTTTTTTAAAATTTAAGGACCAATGTGGCAAAATTTCCTATTCTGGTAGTTCATAAAGAACTACAGATGCTTTGCTATTAATATCTTTCATAGTAATTTTTAATCAACATGAGTCAAGTGATCCTCAGACAACAGGAA